TCGGACAGGCCACAGAGAGGCCGCAACAGGCCTGCCAGCTGCCGAGAGAGGAGGCAGGCCTCGGACAGGCCACAGAGAGGCCGTAGCAGGCCTGCCAGCTGGCGAGGCCTCGGACAGGCCTTTGGAAGTGCTTGGAAGGGTTCTGCCAGGCTTGGCCAACTGCTTCACCCTGCGGTGTCCCAGGCGCCTCCCCGCCTAGGCTTTGGCTATAGGCCGGGGTCGGCGGATATATATATATATATATATATTAAATTGTATTATATGTACTATATACTGTTTATATATTTACCTCAAGGGCACCAGGCGGCACCTTTGGGAGGTGTCTTTTTTGAACCTCCCATTTTCTTTTCGTGTGTCTTTGCTTGGAGGAAGATGACTGGGTTGTGAGCGGCATGGGCATTTTTGCCAGCTGGCTGAGCCGTCTTCCTTGCCAGGACATGCTAACTCTCATAATCTTAACTCAGATCTTCATTGGCTATTCAATTTCCTATGATTTCCTTTGCTTTTCTGTATATGGTATTATGCAAGCAACTGCATCACTCCTTTGCACTGGTTTTTCGTGGCTGTCTAGAACCTTGTGGCAGCCCTGGTGGGCATTCTGGGAGCGGCTAGCTTCCTGGACAGCGAAATCTTCCTACAGGAGCAAAGCCGGCGGAAGTGACACAGCAGCGTTCATCAGAGGCATCAATTTGATGTCCTCCTTGTGTTGTTTTCCAGGGGAGCAGCGTTCTTCTTCTGGCACTGGGCGCCGGAGTTGCAACAGGTGCAAAGGCGATGCAGACTCTCAGACTCTCAAAGAGTGTTTTTGGTTGTTTCTGGCCGTCAATGGTTAGCTGCATCATCGGTTCATCCATGAATAGAGTCTCCACCCGCGCCATGCCCACATGGTTTAAGTTGACGGTGCAATGTGATACCGTAAGTTACATCCGCGCAATCATGAGGCTTCCCAAACTCTTCCTGGCACACTGCTTTGACGCACTAGAACTTGCCAGCAAATTGTTTGGACATGAGCACGGCCGTGGGGAAACAAGCCTAAAATCCGTTCCTTTATGACGAAGCCCGCTTAAACAGTGGACATTAAGGCCTTAAAAAGAGACATAGTCTTCCTGGGTTTCTTTCCATCTGTTGGGACTTGACCGACGGGCGCCATCCTGTTTCAGTTCTTCGAGTCGGGCGCCACCGAGACCATGCTGCTTGGACCTTAGAGCGGCTTGGGTCGATCCATACCAACCGGGTGACCCGAACAAACGACGGACGAGGTTGTCGGTTCTTGCTGGGAGTGAGGCAGGGTCCGGTGGAAGCACTGCCTTTGCTTGGCGCTAGGTTGTCGCAAAGACTACATACATCGACATACTGTTACATATTCCCCACGATGCAGGTGGTACTGAGAGTGGACCTAAATGACAGAGGTCAGAACATGAGCACCTCAGATAATCATTGTACATTGTATATCCTTTACGACGAAAGAATCACGGACTTTTGCCACGCTAACTGGGACATAGGGCCGAATGCTGACCAGCTTTTGGGAGCGAGGCTGCCCTTCTTACAGCGGCTGCTGCCTTGGTCGGCTTGGCCGGGTTTCGGCTTTTGATAGGCCCCGAGTGGCGTAAAGAGTTCATTGATACGAGGGTCGGGTTCTCCAGCTGAGAGAGCGGAGCTCGCAGGAGCAGCAATGGGTCTCCTCGTTGCTCAGATCTTTGTCTCGTGGGCAGCTGGCTGGCACTGGGCTTGGAATACTTAGTGACTAGATTCTAGATGGGAAGTTGCAGAAGTTGCAGGGGTGCTCGAAAAAAGACTCAATGGATCAGCAATGAGGGTGGGGGTCAGCTCAGGTCTTTTTGATCCAATGGATACATGAACAACAACGGACCCGTAGCAGCTAATTCAACGAGTTCAGAAGGACTCATTGAGAAGAGTCAACGGGTTGATGATGTTCACTAGCACACGCGGTTGGTGATGTTCAATTCCTAATGCCAATCAGCCAATCAGCAACATTGGAATGTGCTGAATAAAGAAGTCCAGAATCATGAGTGCTGAAATCGGACCACGTCAACGAGAGTGCAAAATAGCATCAAATAGCCTGGCCTGTGTGCCTCATCAATGAAGTCTGGCAGCCACCCGCCTGACCTTTTTCTTCAGCTGGCCGCCCGCGGCCGCGCCTGGGCGGACCCCGTCGCCGGGGTTTGTCCTCAGGTTTGGACCAAGTGGAGTGAGCTTCTGGTGACCTGAGCTATTCATCGGCTTTTTCGTCGGATTTTTCTTCGGAATGCAAGTGCGACGTTTTCTGAGTGATGTCAGAAGCCCACATGGTTGGCTGTGGTGTGGGTGTTTCCTGCTCAAGGTATTTGGCTTTCCTGACCATTGGAGTGGCTGCCACTGGCTTTGACAAGACGACATTTCCGGTGATCGGCTACGCCATTGGAGGTTTCTTGTTCTCCAGGCCCAGCTGCCAGTTTTGGCAAAGATCACCATGCAGTTCACAGATGTTCACAGCAAATCGTGTGAAGTGGCACAGTTCCGTGGTGTTCTTCCTGGCAGAGTTCCTTTCTCTGGGGCAGCTACCAACATCATGGATCGATTCCGTGCCTTGGCAAAAATAACCCCAGGTGTAAGTGCGATGTTGCTCATGTTGTGGTCGCTACCAAGTCACATTGCTTCAGATGATCAATGTAAACTGAACAACGAAGGCTGATGCCTTTCTGAATGGAGACCATCCTGAGCAGATTCTGGGAGAGGTGCAGAGTTGTATGATGTTTCATGGTTCGCCTTTCACGACGCCGGTCTTTGGTGTCTTTTTTCATGTGTTTATGTGTTTTTTTTCCAATGAACGCGAGGCGTTCATTGTACTCAGAGTTGCTGGATTCTTTCTGTGGCTGGTCCAGACCCGAGTGTCCTTTTCAGTCCGCCATGGCCGTGGCGTGGCTCCACCGAGGCAACGGTGCTCTTCGGGCAGAGGTGCTCCGTGTGGTCGAGGGCGTTCTACACCGAGAAGCTGGGACAGCCTGCTGGACCGCTCAGGCGGGCAGAGTGGCAGAGTCCTAAGAAGTTTAAACTGGATAATTTGATTGATGTTTGAGACGTTCTTGATGGTGTTGATTATGTGTTGATTGATTTTCTTGGGGAGTACTTTTCTTTGCTTAGCTTGGGTAGTTGGGGTCTCTCCTTACTGTCTTTGCATGTTCAGGCAGCCATTGCTTGAAGGAAATGCAGCTTGGCAAGAAGCAAACAAATGACATGCAATCATTCCAGCTGTGTGTATTCCAAATATGCCTCGTTTGGAACGATTTGCGAGTTCACCAGGAAGCGTAGCTGCCGCCCCGTCAAGAGTCAAGACTGGATTGCTTGGAGTTGTCCAAAAAGTGTGTGCGCCTTTGCAGTGGTACAGCAATGGAACAAATGTGAATAGGCTGATGGATCATGAATCCTTAAGAAAGTGGAAAGCCAAAAGGATCATTTAATGAAGCTCGCAACAATGACGGAAAATGACTTGGTCCACCGTACTCAGTGAGATGCGGTGGACTCTGAGCGTTTGACCTCTTGCTGTTGCAGAGATAGGGGCTCAAATGTGTAGTTTTGCAGCGCTCGATTTGTGCCCGTGACCTAAAAAACAGATAAACCGCAAGTGAATGTGAATGTAGCACGTGCTTTGGTGCACCATTGTTACCCTGTGTTTGTCACGTGGGACACAGCAGTGTTTTTCGTGGCTTCAGGCTGTGGGTCATGTCCAAAGCCCAGGAGTAACACCTGTTCTGTTGCAAGCAGAAACCAAGCCGCCTGGATGAAGTGACACGGCCTGGTGTTTTAAGGCAGACATGGCCTTATTAAAGCTGAAGACCGAGCTAGAGAATGCACTGGCACCTGGCTTAAGCTCCACACATACCGTAGTGTTGTGTTTCTTGTTGTCCACAAGAAAACAAATGCAGAATAGAGAAAAACCAGAGATTGAATGATTGAAGAGGAAAGTTGCAAGTGTCCTGTCCACCTGTGGTGAGACAGCGCTGCAGGGTGAGCTAGTCCTTCACGAGGACTGTCAGCTACTTGAGTCACAGTCAGGAGCACAGTCGGACCCTGGCAACGAAAGCCAGAAATCGGCTCTTCTGGGAACTCGCACGACACGTGTCGCTGTTCCGAGTGTCGTGACGATGTTCCGATGCCTTGGATCGAAGGAAATCGTCGTGCCGTGCGATCGTTAGCATGTTGTAGCTTGTTCTCCAGGCAGTGAGGACTGGATTTCATCCTTTGGATTGGGAGGGGCATCCACAGGCTGTTTGGAGACGTTGGGCTGTATATAGATGGATTTGGTTGTAGGTTATTTGAAGAGAGTGTGTTCATCTTTCTTCTCGATGGACTAGGTGTCAGAACTGGTCCAAGCAGGAGACACTGGAGCCAGTGAGCCTTGAGAATGTGGGGCCAGGTGAAGTACCACCATCGCGACATGCTCATTTAGCCACAGCGGACATGCTCATTTCGGTGGGACCGGATTTCCACAGAGATCTTATTATAGAACTTATAGATTTTATAAAGGCCACTTCACCACTCGTTCTCGTCATCGAAAAAGAAATGCCAAAGCAGCGGACATGGATGTGTTCCACCTGTGCGTCCATGGTAAACACCTGGACGCGTGCGTCCAGACGCTGCTTCGCTGCTTGGTCTAGGACGTCATGGAGGACACTGATTGTGTTCCAGCCTCCGTTCCGTCACTTTCTCAGCCTCCATTTTCCCTCTTTGGCAGCCCTCGTTTAGTCGGCTGCAGCCATGAAAGTCCAAAGGTGTGCCCTCTGCCATGTTGTTTTTGAGATGCTACATGTTTGTCATTGTATGTCATTCTGCCATATTCTGCCCATTGCCCAGTGTAGGTCAGCCTCACAAGCTGATTTTGACGAAGTTCATGAAGCAGCGGGGCCAGGTGAAATGTTTGGAAAGGCGCCCTGCCCAAAGGGAAGCGCAAACAGACGTACTCCATGCTAGCTTTAGAAACTCTTTCAGAAAGGTTCAGACGACTTGCGTGGATTTGAGCAGGCCAGAGCTCCAATTTGGAATGCGCGAATGCCGTCAGTGCGATGCTTGGACATGCTTGGTCAGTGCGATAGGCTTTTTATACTTACTCATACTTCCCACATCGGGCTGCAATGCTTTTCATATCTCAACAGGTGGGGTATTGCAGCACTGCTGCAACAACCCCCATGGCAAGTGCCCATTCCTTAGTTGCGGTCTGGTTGGGTCATGGTGGGCCCTTCTTTAGGCCATAGACTGACTTGAATATGTGAATGAGCCCTCACCATAGATACCTTAGAATCCATTCCTTCATTCAACTTCATTCCTAAGAACCAGTCAGTAGATTTGTTGTGCACGATGACTCGGCGCTTTGGTTAGGCCACGGCATCGGCGATGCCTTCCACCCCGACTCAAGAGAACATCAGTGCAGAGCTGACGCCTCGCGGGCAGGCCCGAATTGGATGGGGTGTAGTGGTTTGCGAAGAATTGGTATTGAACGAAATGAAAGAAATGGATGGGTGAGAGCGGCCGAAAAGCTAACCATCTACCTTCAGGAGGGCCGCGCGGATCTCACGAATGCTGAGGGGCAGCATGATTTGCTGTCAGGAGGCACGAGAGCAAGCGATCACTGTTGTTGTCATACTGCCTACCGCAAATTCGAACAGCTATTCTGCTGGCACAACCTTGCTAGAAACAATAAGCTACTAGGAACAAGTGCATCACTTCTAGTAACAAGTGCCTTACTAGTAGTAACAAGAAGCTATTAGAAACAAGAAGCTATTAGGCTTATAGCAACCTTGCAATTTGGAAGTTCAGGGGTTCCATGTGTCAAACGCATCCCCCATCCACAGACTTGTCAGGTCACTTTCGACTGGGAAATGCTTGCTTGCAAGTGGCTAGATGGTGTGCACCTCAAGAAGTCCAGCAGACGACTGCGGCCTTACAGTCTCCGACTGGTGCCGATCCCAAAAAAAGGAGTCCATAAAAGGTGTCACCCCCATATTTCGGCAAAACCAACTAGGCTTACTACCAAACAGCTCGATGTGGCCAGTTATGCTTCCGCAAAACTACTGCTTGTTAGTGGAAAAAAACATGAAAAAAGAAGTCCCGAAAGATGCATGAAACATAAAGTCGTGTTCCCTTCAAGTTAAGTATTTCAGTTGTTCACAGGTCATAGACTGGATATGATATATAGACTAGATGCATTCAAGCAGTATGTGTGGAATTTAACAAGGCCTCTTTGTTGCACTGATTCACGAGAGGTTGTTTATTATATAAAAGCGGTGGAGCGCGCTTTGCAGGTTGCCCTCACAAGCTGACTTTGACGAAGTGCATGAAGCAGAAGGGCCAGGTGAAATGTCTGGAAAGGTGCCCGCGAAAGGAAGCACGAACAAACGCCCTGCATGCTGGCTTTTGCGTCACTGACTTTAGCCCATTGAATTGACCAGGCCAGAACTCCGATGTGGAACGCGCAAATGCCGTCAGTGCATTGCTTGGACACAAGTCTTTTTGAACTGATACTTCCTAGGAAACCTATTTGACGTGGTCTACTTTGTCTATTCTTAAACAGGTGGGGTATTGCAGCCCTGCTGCTTTGGCCCCCATGGCAACTGCCCGCATCTTAGTTCGTCGGCCTGGACGGGACAGACCTCGCTGAATGAGCTAAGGCCACAGCATCCGCCATGCCTTCTACTCCTCAAGAGGGAAGCGCGGGGCTCTTACCTCTAGGGCAGGACGTCTGTTGGGTGGTTTCTGAAGAGCTAAAAGGGCAGAAGCCAACGTGGAAAGAAGAGAACGTTGGAAGCTGCAAAGCGTTTGTTCAACGTCAGCATGGGTCCCTTGGGTCTCAAAAGCCCAGATGGGTCCCTTGGGTTCCTCCAGGAGGGTCGAGGAGGAGACTTGGTGAGCGCTCCAGAGCAGCATGACTTGCTACCAGGAGGCACAATTGGTCCAAAAGAAATGCAGAGACTTCTGGCAGGCAGAAAAAATCTACTGAGTTCAAAACATGAGTTCCCATGCTTCAACTGCCTCCTCTCCCTGCTCCTTTTGCAGACGTGCTGGTCAGGCATGGGTCGCTTCCGGCTAGGAACCAGTTGCTTGCAAGTGGCAAGATGGTGTGCACCTCAAGAATTACAGCAGACGAAGAGAACCTCGAAGATCACGTACTGATCAAATGAAGGAGATCAAAGAATGATCCATCCATGAGATGTATTGAAGAACCCTGCAGCAACTCAGTGTGTTTGGCTACTTGAACTGAACCTTTTGCGATCGACCGAGGCCGTTGGCCTCGCCCATTCAGCGGATGGATGAGGCAGAGGTAAGCCAGACCAACAAAAGAACTTGACATTGTGCACAAAAAAAGAATGTGAAACAGTCAAAAAAAGCTGTCCGGAGAAAGCTGAAGAGCTGGAGGTACACAGAACTTGAGGCTGAAGGCGCTTTAGGTGTTGCAAACGGCATTTGAGGCTGAAGCTCATTTTAAAGCTGATGGCCTTGGAGCGCTGAGAGAGCCTGGCAAGGAACTGCGGAATCGATCACCTTGCGATGGCTCAGAAAGCAAAATCCAATGCCTTTGGTCAAATGACAGAAAATTCCAAATTCGCCTTTAGGTGCGGTCTATTTTGAGCCACATCAACTAGTTATATTTGGTGGTTTTCTTTTTGTTGCTTCGTGCGTCGAGATTGGTCTTGTTCCTTCGAAGGACCAGGCCTCCAACGCAGCAGATCTAGCGGGCGCAGCCTTGTCACAGGCACTCGAAGCTCGAGGCAGACCAGGTGCGGCCGAAACAGTTCAGCTTCCTGGTTTGGCCACTGGACTTCATGTATGACTGGAGAAACACCATGCACGCCAATCATCACAGAGTTATACCATTGTTTTCTTCGCAGAGGTGCTTCTTCAACCTCACTCCTTTAGCAGGCACTTTGGAGGCGACAAGAGTAGTAGAAGTGGGAGGTGTTGTTTTTGTTCCTTGGTTGTGTCAAGTGTGTAAGCGACGTTGTCCATTCCATCATATTCCGTACATTCTGCCCCAGGTCGCACTTCCGGAAGGTGTGGTGAATTGGCTCCTGCCAAGCTCAGTTGGCCAAGATCACCCTCCACCCTGAAATGATCTGAAATGTGTGAGCAGAAGCGTTGAGGAATAGATAAAGTGTTGATTGATGCATCAGTCAGTCTTGGTCTTGGCACTTGTCACCGGGTGCATAGTGCTAGCTGGGTGCTCCATGCCTGTACATACCAGGCATTTTTTTCTCGGTTTTATATGACTATATATTAGTCATGTAAATCCACTCATCATCTGCAATGGTTTCAATCAATAATTCATTAAATTCCTAAATATTCAATCAAAAATAGAAAAAATGTACATATATTGTGATGTAATAGGTCACCAGACCACATGTTCCTTTTCATATACACTTGAGACTGCACATACTTGTCGTTGACCACTTTCTGAACCTTGTGAGTTTTTCAATATTCGTTTTTATGAGCCACGGAACAAGCATAAATCGCCTTAGTAGGGAGAGTACATTTGTGCTGAGAAATTGCACCAA